TGTCCCCAGCTGCTTTCCTGCACCACCCTCTCCCACCATGACCTTCTGCCTCACCTCAGGTCCTGAGGAATGGGGCAGCTCTTTATGGATGAAGATCTTTGAAACTCTGAACCCCCAAATAAACTTTCCTCCTCTAATTGTTCTTGTCAGGTCTTTTGGTCACAGCAGAGAAAAAGCTGACTAAAACTCCCCATTTGATCCCAACCCTCTTTGTATCTAAAGCTTTTCCAAAACAAGCAGGCTCCATCCTATGACTGAGTGCAGTCCCCAGGCCTGCGGTGGAAGTCCTACCCGTGGACAGTGTTTGTGGAGGGTCTTGGGGAGGTGGCTGGGTCACATGAATGGGGTCATGATGGCAGAGTCTCCCAACAGGATTGGTGGCTTTATAAGAGGAGGGAAGGTAGACAGGTCACCCTCTCCTGTGGCCCAGCAAACACAGCAGGAGGGTGGCTACCTGCAGGCCAGGGAGCGTCCTTGCCAGGCCCCAAGTCCCAGCCCCCTGATCTGGCCTCCTGCCTCCAAGACCCTGAGGAACAGATGCTGCTCCTGAGCTCCAGTCAACGGTGACGCTGCCCAGGCAGACCAGCCCTTCCTGCCAAGCAACACTTCCTGCAATCAACGATACACCCAGGAGGGATTCGGTGAGCGTGCGGAGTGGGCTCCACAGAGGCCAGCACACCTGCAGCCCACCCAAGCCTTGGGCACCTCAAAAGCCCTGGTCTGCCGACTGCATTGGGGATTGAATCCAAGTGCAGAGTGTCCACACCCCAGAGGCCTCTCCAGGAGGTCCTTCTCCTCCCACAGAGCACACTGGGGACGGAGGAGGTCCACCTGACACATTCGGTGTGAGCTTATAAACCTCTGGTTCCCTGTGGAAAGTGCTGGCCCAGTCCTCCTCCCGGGAAGGGAGTTTCCAGTGCCAAGCTTCCTCCTGCCTCGCATTGCCTCCACCTCCTGCTCCCAGGAAGCCAGATCCGTCCATCCTGCCCCGTCCAGCACCCAGCTGGCAGAGGCTAGGTCTCCGCCATGTCCCCTGGACCCACTGAAGCCAGCGGTACCTGGTGGCCAAAGGAAAGGCCAGTGCACAGCAGAGCTCAGGAGTGCTGGGGCATTGGA